CTGCAGCGCGGAGGGGGAAAGGGGGGGGTCTGGCCGGGACCAGCAGTTCTCCTCCGCCCCGAGTTCAGGCCACGAGACCTGGCGATGGCTCTGCCGCTGCCGAGTGTGACCGCACGTGTCCAAACCCTGGCAAAATAATCGTGGAAAACATGGCTTTTTCTAATTTTATTTTAGGCAAGGCATCTTTATATTTGCGACTTTCACAAAAACTTAATTCAGAGCGTGAGAAACAGAAGAAAGAGAAAAGGCAGTGATGATGATGGTGACTCGCCAGTGCAAGACATTGACACTCCAGAGGTACCTGCCTAGTTATTTATGTGGTTGCCATGTAAAACTGATTCTTAATTGTCATGCTTTAGTCACAAAAATATAACTTATTTCTTATGGCTATGCTTCTGTATTCATTGTGTATGTTAGAATGATATATTCTAAGATGCTTACATAAGGAATATTTGTTTTCTCCATTTTATTCATCATACTTCTCCTGGAAATAAAGCCTAACCTAAATCGTAAATCAGTTTTGATTCTGAAACATTTTACCTTTCTCCCCAGATCCCTAGTATTGGAGTTACGTGCTTAGCCACATAGTAGCAGAACCATTTTTCAGCGGGAGTCAGGCAGTTACTGAACCATGGGCCACAGGAGTCAGGCAGTTACTGAACCATGAGCCAAGCATTTATATTTTCAGTGTATAAAATATTTTATCACCTTTTAACTGTCCCCCTGTCCTACCAGGATGGTTACAGAACAGTCAGAAGTTGCTCCATTCTGTTAAAAAAACACTTAGAATAGATATATGTGTCATACATAAAAGCATAGTAGAGTTAAATCTTAAATGTAAAAGTATGTACTGTAGTGCCACTGTTAAATTCCAGTTTTTGGGGAAGTGGTTGCTTTGATCTGGCACGTCCCATATACAAAAGTGGTGTTTAAAACGTATATGCACCTTTTTGTTTCCCATTTCAGATGGTATGAAATACCCTTTTTTTTTAATGCCCTGGATAAGTGCACTAAGCTGGAGGGTAGGTTGCCTGTTCGAGGTATCAAAGATCTCAAATAGCATTTTTAAGATTTGGCTGCAGAACTTGTTCCTTTAAGTTCCCGTAATGCATTTGTCCATAAGGCCTTTTCACTGCCAGCACTTTGCTTAAGAATTCTGGGTTGACAGGAAGGAAAACACATTTTTTTTTTTTTTTTTTAAGCCTCTGGTGAAGATGTCAGAGGTCCTGGAATATTCTGAGTCCTGTAAGGTCTTATCTCAGTTCCTAGAGACTGTTTTTTATGGTCCTCCCCACAATTATCTTTGCAGTTATCCTCTTGAATCCCAGGGCTGCAATTTTGGCACCGTGGGGACCACAGTTCCTGAACAAGCCAGTTCTCTCTTTCAAATTTTATGGGATCAGCAGTTCTTGCCACAGCTGATATCTGCTGCCGACTCTTGTGAAGGACAAAAAAAATAATAGTGACAAATGTACTGCTTACCGCATCTGCTCCTGCAAAGGAGGCTTAGTTCAGACCCACATTCTAAAAGCTACAGTTGTCAGTTTAGACGGTGCCAGAAAACCCAAAGGTGTTTTTATTCCTCTCTCCCTGCCACCCCGCACCCCCAGTCTGGGCGCTGCACCAGAGAGGCTCATGACTTCACTGATGGGAAAAGAAATGAGTGCCCAATGCAATCTCTACCATCTCCGGGAAGAAAAAGTTCTGTGCCAGTGATCTACTAGTTTCACCTCCAAGTCTGTTTCAGAGGGCAGTTCAGAATGTTATTTTGGGCGGAATACTAAAGGCTGCTTGGAACAGAAGGACAGTACATACTACGTGTCTTCTGCCTTCATTTCAGTTGCCATATTTAATGATTATTTAATGCCATTGTTTCTTTTTTCCTAGGTTGATTTATATCAGTTGCAAGTAAACACGCTTCGAAGGTACAAAAGACACTTCAAGTTACAGACTAGACCAGGACTCAACAAAGCACAGCTTGTTGAAGTAGGTATGAACATCTGTTCTGTAGCAGGCAATGCAACTTGCTATAATATGTGAATCTCTGGAAAAGGTGAACCATAGGACAAGTAATATATCCTTACCTTTGTAGAGAATATCCGTACAGATTAACATAACAGCCTCTGTAATTGACAGATGTAAGTTTACAAAATTCAGTCAACTACTGAATTATAATTGGATTAGATCCTGTTCCAAAAGCTTTTTCTCTAACATAAAGATAACAAGTGGACTGGATTTTTTTGACAACAAAAAGAAAGCATTCATTTAGTTTCTTGCTGACCTGGTTTTTCTGTCCCCAGCCCCACGGCCAACAGAGCTGGGGTTATCAAAATAAATCATAAGTAAAAGTTCAGTTTAGAGGAATTGATTTTTAGAACTAGGTACTTTTAAAAGAAACCTGGAATCAGGTGCAGAATTGGAACTGTGGCATTGAGAAGCATCCTATATGTTTCTGAATACTTGGCCTCGCTTGTGCTATAAAGCCTATAGATTTCCGTAGGAATGACAGTGGAATGAGGTTCACTTATTCTGCCCTAAAGTTTTTACTGTGTTTTTAATGAAGGGATCATGGTAAGGTAATGTGAAACTTGCATATCCTATTTCATGTTTCCACTTACAAGCCTAGAATACAAGCTTACAAAATAAAACAGAGAAATTTCTGTGAGAATAACAAGTCTGTCTGACTTGGTAAAAAGATCAATATTCCATATTTAAAATATTGCAGAACACTTTTTGCTTTTCAGTTTTGTTCACTTGACTTGTTCTTTTAATGTCTTCAGTTTTGCACTCCTGGCATGCAGTCCTAGAATGCTCATTTAAATACCTCTTCTGACAACTTCTGCTTCCCTATTAAAAACTTAGATGCATGTTTAGTTCTTAGGCTACTTCAGTGCTGTATTATAACATTTATGTGCGGGCGTTTTGTAGATCTCCTAAGTACAAGTTTCAAGACCGCTGTAAAATTATAGAGTACTTTCAATGTTTTTGCAGCTAAGTATGAGTTTAAACTCGGTACTTTCCTGTTCACCTGTGACTTAAAAAAGAGTAGGGTGCTCACTTAAATTGGTGTAACTAAAACTGGAATGAAGGCACAAGTGGCTTGTTTTTACAAATTAAAATAAGTTAGGTTCTTGGGGATGAAGTTGGGTCTTAAAGAACATGTTCATTGAGTCCTCAGGTGCTGTAATGCAGAATAGCCCCTTTACTAGCCAACTCTGGCTTTCATCTTAAAGCAAACTGTGAAATTTAATGTTTTTAGACGGATATGAGAATTTCCTGCTTTTACATGCAACTATATCTTAACTCGTTCACTTGATTACAAAAATAATCTTATTTTCTCACTCTTTGGGAACCTTCTGTAAACTTCCTGTGTCTATGTGGGTATTTTACACACCATCAGGGGAAAGAGTAAAATTGTAAAACCAAGAAATTAGCAACTAGAAACAGGGAAAGTACCTGAGACTACTCTGTTTCTTGAAACTGGCAGCCTAAAGTAATACCAAGTAAAATTCTCAATACTCCGAAGTGACTAGAGAGGCTTTTTTTGTGTGGGGGGGAAATTAAATGGTATCTCTTGTAAAAGGTTGTAACAGACATTGAAATTCCACTATTGTAACAGTTCCATTGCATAGAGGAAGAAATAGAAGGGCCTCTTCTACGCAACCACCTTCTTGGGGCTCCATTTTTACTAACACAGTTCTTGTCCTTTTTTCTATTCTGTGCTTTTAGCACTGAACCTGTTCACAGATATCTTTTGGGGATTTTTATCCCTCTTTCTTCCCTGTTGTGTGTCGTCGTGTCCATCTTGCCCCCCCGGCCCTGTCCTTTTTTATTTTCTTTTTTTCCTTCACGCTGGGACATTCTTTTCCTGTAGCTCAGGAAACAGTGGCTTTTGCTGGATCAGACCCTGGCTGCCCTACTAGAATATACTTCTCAATAATGCAGTGATTCACAGCCTACTTATTTTGCCTCTGTCCAGCAGCCTGAGTCATATGTCTTTACCAGTTCTATTTTTCACCTGCCTGATGAAAGCTTTTTCTTTTTTTTTCTTTTCTTTTCATTTAAAGGAATATGTCAACTCTGTTAGTTAATTTTTAACCTTAGTTTCTGCATGTGGCAATTGTGAGTGTATTGACTTATATGATCAAATGGCTATTTAACTTCCTTGAACTTTCTCTTTGTAGATAATTGGTTGCCATTTTAGGACAATTCCAGTGAATGAAAAGGACACCTTAACATATTTCATCTACTCAGTGAAGAATGACAAGAACAAACCAGATCTAAAGATGGATAGTAGTGTTCACTAGGATAGAAAAAATTGGGACTAAGACTTGTTACAAATCAAAAGACTGTTTTTGACATACAGAAGCCTTCTTTGTAAATTTTTTTCAGAGAATTGTCTCTGACTTATTTTTCATGGTCTTGCTGACTCATTTGAAAACAGCCTCCTCTAAAATGCAATTTCCTTGGCAAAAATATTTTAAATAAATATTATTGATATTGTTGCTGAAGTGGGTGTGTTTGGAATTTATTTAGTGGGTTGCCGTGTCTGCATAGTTTGAGATTAGTCAATATATATTTATTACTATTAAATGTTCATTGTGTTCTTCAGTTATAGAACTATACTAAATGTTTGAAATATGTTTAGAAAGAATCACAGTGCAATATTGCTGCAGCATTTAGAAAACAGTGTTTTAAGATAAAAGGCCATAATAGAATTGCGCTGGACATCATGAAAAAGTTCTACTTGTAGTTAATAATAAGCATAACTGTCTGAATAACTCCTAGTCTACTAAAACTGACATGCTGGGTTTTTTTTAGATTTATCTCTTCATTATCTTATCTTTTGGGATATGAACTGCCAATATTTAAGGTCTTCCTGCCAGTGTAGAAGAGAGGTTATTGTTAGGACTGTTGGTTATTTAGTGTTATAATACCTGCAGTTCTAAGTATAGATCTGTTCTCCTTCGAAAAGAGGTTCTGAATGCTGCTACTCCATTTATCTCTGTCTATCTATAATATAAAAATATGCTGTGTTGTAGATCTTACATTGAAGAATGGAGAATTGAGTTTTTGCTGTGCAGTCTGTAGTATGTTAATTCATTTCATTTCTTGTTCCATTGAAGCCTGCAATAACTAAAACTATAAACACAAGAAGGTAACAAATCTTCAGGTACATCACTGAAATCTGCACACTGTATATTTTTTTCTTTAGTTGTCTAAAGCAGTGGGGCCAACCCTTGTGCCATGCATGCCACAAATTAGCCCCGCATCCTCCACAAGAGTTACTCCAATCCTCTTCCCCTGTTCAATCTGCTACCCTGCTTTCTGCTCTCAACCCTGTGTTCCCTGCTGAATCTTCTGCTATGCCCCCTGCTCCCTGGCAGAGCTGTTTGTCGTCACATGCCACTTGTAACACTCATGCTGCAGGTTGGACACCTCTGTTCTACAGCATTTGTTACCAGTGATATTAAACATTCTGTAGTTCCACTTAAGACGGAAACATTAGGATCTAGTTGAAGTGCTTTTCCCTCTGTGATGCCTACTGACTCCTGTGTGTATGAGGAAGGAGCAAAGAGGTACTAGTATCTATCTCAGGATACATCTGTGTCCCCCTAGATTTGCTTGATAGTCATATTGGATATCACTTCCTAACCAAGTCTCAGCCACTTTCTCTGCAAGAAAAAAGACCATTTTTGTATTTAAAACTCACATATTTTCTTGGTACTACACATAGGTGTTTTAGCAAGCTCTTGCTGGAATCAAAAAAATTGTTCTTTCTGCTCAGCATCAGGCTAATTAGATGTTTGATTTAAGGTTCTGTTTTGTTCTTCCTCCTTCCCCGCCTCCTCTTCACCTGTTATGCTTTGTTCACAACTTAGTCGTCATCACTAAGTGCAAAACAATATCTTTCACTGCAGTTATTAAATAATGGAATTTCTTTACTTTTTCAGTGTCCTATCTATTTCCACATTAAAGTTCTGCGGTGCTGGCTTCAGTTCAAGCTGAACAGTGCTATTTAGCTGAAGTCAGTGTTTGTACATTTCAAGCATCTCTTCACTAAACATGTTTGTGCATGCATTTATTGTAATATGAAGTGCTTAAAGATTGCAAGCTAATTGTATCCAATTATGACCCTTGAAATGCACCATCCAACTGAGAGAAAACTGGTCTCTTTTTACAGAGCAAGTTAGACAGCCTGGTAAGAAGAATCCTAAAAGGTGCATCTAACCTATGATATCTTAACTGTGTTTTGTTAAGGCTTAAATTATTTTTGTGTACTTAACTGTGGCAAGCAGAATTTTCTTTGGCTGACAGGGAGAGAAATCCTAAATTTAAGGCCAGTACCTGCCATTTTAACTGGTTGCATGTGTAATGTGGTGATAGCTTTGAGAATCTGCAAACTGGCAGCAGAAGGAAGAAGCTTGCAACAAAATTTTCAAAAATAGTCCAATTAACTAAATTGTCAGGTCTGCCATTCTGCTGCTAGTGCTTTGGACAGCTACAAGCAACAGGGGCAAGTAAGGCCTTGTTCTTGCAACATAAAAGTGGAGGACTAAGCAGTATGCCATGATTATTGGCAAGAAAGCCTCCAAAGTTCTAAGCAGTCTTTGACTTCCTACCAGGGCTTTTTGCACCTGCTGAAATTCTTTTTAAGCGTATTTATCCCTGGACTTAGCCTAGAGTTGATTTGGTAGTCTGCTTTTAAATGTCAATTTGATCTGGCAATAGGGAAGAAAATGAACAAAGAAAATCTTATGTTGTGAAATTACTAGGTGTAAGACAAGCATGGCTTTAAGTAATTTTGAAAATACTTTATACAAACAACTTAGAAAGTTGGTTTACTACATAAGTATATTATCACTTCCATATACTTCAGCAAACCAACTTTTTTTGCCAGTTGGTACTGCATCACCACTGGCAGAGAATGTAGTTTTTCAATAATGTTAGCAGTAGTAAGATAGTAAGACTTACAAACACTTTTGTTTGTTTTTTGTGTTTTTTATAATGTACTTGCACATCATACAGACTCTTTGTGTAAGAGTAAAGTATGTTTATCTATTTGGTAGTAGCACTTACTAATGCTTATAACTTATACCATGATTATTGCACACTATACTACAGAAAGTGTTTTTGAAAAGGATAGCAACATGAAATAGCTATGTAAAGATATTCTGCACTAGGCTTCTTTTTTTCTCCCTCGTCTGTCTAACTTGATAGCTTCAGGAGAGTACTTTATTTTTGTTAATGGAAAAGTATTTCTGATAGCTGAAGTGAGGCTCTCGCTTCAATAACTTGAATTAAATGAGCTGTTCAGAAACTGTTCTCTTTGTTTGCATCTGCCACTGGCATCAGTAAGAGCTTAGCATGGAGGAAGAGAGGATCAACTTGCTGAGAGGCACTTCATTTAATTTTAATGAGCTTTTTCTTTTTAAAAACAAAACAAAGAAAAGAATGAAACTTCTTTTCATGAGTTCTAATTGTATTTGTCTTCCTAAAGAGCTGTTCAAACAAAATGGTAGTTCTGTATCTTCGCTACTGAGATGTACCATAGTTCAAATGGGTTTCAATCCAAGTCCTATTGGAGTCTATTTCCATATCCTATAGCAGACTTGATCAAGCCCCGCACAATACATCTCCTTTAAATTGTTAAGTTTATAGCAGCTGTATAGTGCAAACATGAGTTTTTAAAATCTTGATAATTAATAATGCTAGGGACCCCAATTATGGATAACTCCTTGTGAATTTAGAGCTCTGTTGTGATGCCACTGAAATTGTCCTCTAGTATTAGCAAATGAAGCTCCAGGCTACAGTAAACGGCAGTCTGGTCCTAAAAATCTTTCTTGCTAAGATACAGATTGACAGCAGGAGATTTTTAAAGAATGGTGATCTTACGTATCAGAACAATAGTGAATGGAAGTTTCTAGTGCACCCCTTCTTGTTTTTTTCCATTGAAAAATCAATGTTGCTACCAAGTTAGAAAGGAGAGCTTTTAGTATTAAAACTTCAAGGCTATATCTGTCTTTGAAAAGGAAGCTTGTTCTACTTTGTACAGTAAGGCTCGGCGCACTAGGGCTGTTTAATGGAATAGAATTTTTTCATGCAGTATTATTCTTCCGTTAAGTCCATATATCGTCATCACTGGTTCACATGATGTTCATCACTCTCTGTTGCAAGGAACCACGAAAGAAATTTTTGGTCCAAAGAAAATACCCCTGAAAGAAAATAGCAGATATTTAAAGTTGTAAAGTTATTAGAACCTATAAAAAGAAATCCATTTATAACTTCTCTGCTGCAGATAGCTTTGGTAAAAGGAATTGGGAGAAATGTATGTAGTGAAATTTGTGCAGAAACTAAACTAGTGTAATGGAAAAACTCCCACTAACTTCAAAAGGGTTGGGGTTTTACCCTTGGTGTCATAACTTCACTTTTTACAGAGTGTAATTTGGGTTCCACTCTAGAAGTGGCCAGGTTGCCCCTGGAGTCCCCTCGGTCCTTGTCAACTTCACTCTCTTTGGGCAATCACCCCATCACTAGCCTGCTATGCCTTGATTTATTTATATTTTAGATAAAGGGAGGGTGCCCCAGGGCTTCCCAAGCTTTGATCTCATGCTGCTGAGCTTAGGTGTCTCTGCCTTAAGGGCTGATTGCATGGATCTGACTGCCCTTTACACCATGCTGATGCCTCACAGATGTTACTCATTCC